GAACAGTTTAACTATAATTAAGTCCCTTATGATTTCCCTTTCCTGTTTACCTTTTTATGCTTCTCTTGAGTCTCATATTTAAAAATCAATTTTTCTATTTAGCTGTGTTTTTTTTCATGAAGAATACTTGAAAGTGCTCTGTTTCAGTGAATATCCATTTTCCCCCTGAAGCATTATACTCAGTTTTGCTGGGGGGTGATTCTTGGTTGTAATCCTAGCTCCTTTGCCCTACAGAATATCATATTCCAAGCCATCCAATCCTTTATAAAATGGACTTAGTCAATAAATATTCATTAAGCACTTACCATGTGCCAGACATTGTGCTAAATGTTGGGGATACAAAAAGAGACAAAAGACAGTCCCTGGTCTGAAGGAGCTCACACTTTAATGGAAGAAAACAACAAGCCAACAAATATGTACTAACAAATTATATATAGGATAAATAGGAAATAATTTTAAAAGGGAAGGTAGTAGAATTTAGAGGGATTGGGAAAGGCTTCCTGCAAAAGATGAGATTTTAGCTGAGATTTAAAGGAAGCCAAGGAAGTATGTATGTGAAGTTGAGGAGAGACAACATCCTAGACATGAAGGGCAGCCAGAAAAAAATGCCTGGAGCAGAGAGATGGAGTGTCTTATTTGTGGAAAAGCCAGGAGACTAGTTTCACTGGATCAGAGAGTATGCATTGGGGGAATAAGGTGTAAGAAGACTGGAAAGGTAGGAGAAGGTTAGGTTACAAAGGGCTTTGAATGCCAAATAGAGTATTTTGCAATTAATTCTGGAAGTGATAGGGAACCACTGGAGTTTAAGTGAGTAGGGAGGTAACATGATTGGACCTTTGCTTTAGGAAAATCACTTCAGTGCTTGAATGGAGGATAGATTGGAGTAGTGAGAGACTTGGGGCAGGCAGAAAATAGTCCAACTTATATTGCCTACCCTTCAGGGATGTTATGAGAATCAAATGAAATGATTCATATAAAATATTCTATAATCATAATGTAAATAATCTAAATGTAAGCTTAATAGCTCATCAAATGATGGTTCTATCATATATTTTGGCCCATTATCTTTATCAGTGGCACCCCTGATATACTGGAAAGGGACAAAATTAGAAGAGGTTCTGATACATATGACCCAGGTGATCACAGACAAGTAATTTAGCCCTTCTTTGCCTATTTCTTCATCTGTAAAATAAGAATCATTATATTTCAACTATCTATCTTCAAGGGCTGTTGTGATAAAAGTATTTTATAACCCTTAAAGTAGTATAGAAATTGATGTTATAAGAAACATTTTCTTTAAAAACAACCTGCTATGTTACACACAAGTTTATAATATACAGGATATTTATGAAGCAAAAGATCACCATCTTTCCTCATGCAAACTTAAAAAAAAACCTTAATAACAAATAATCTTTCATGAGAATCAGCAGCTAATTCCATAAAAGTAATGCAGTAACTTTCCTATACAAGGATGGCACTACTCACATTCTCTCATTGACTCTAGAAGTAGATACGAGCCATGTTGAGTCTTTATTTTCTAACCTGTTACCCTCATGACCAGTGGCACATATCTGTGAACAACGTACTTACTCTAGGGGAAGGGGAAGGAATTTTCGCTCTGTACAAAGTTAAAATTCTCATACCACGATGGCGCTCATTTACCTTGGCCTCATTTTCATTATGCTGTGATTCCTACAGTGATCTGGCCCAGACTGCTCAATCAACACAACAGCTCCAGTGTCCTCTGTCTAGGCATCAGGACAAGTAAAATCCCATAGTCACAGAAGTACAGAGCTGAAAGGGACCAATTAGTCTACCCTGAGGTAGCTGCGGCACTGGGGGGAGGGAGAAGCACATGTCTTTGAGTCACAAGACCTGGGTTCCAGTCCTAGTTCTGCCACTTTGTAGACAGATGACCTTGGGTTGGTCGCTGGGCTTTCTCAGACTTTACCTTCCTTCTCTACCAAATGGAGATAATTCCTGTTCTGCCTTCCTTATGGGCTTGTTGTAAGGCTAAATGACTTAATATGCATCCAAAGTGCTTTGCCAATTATAAAGCACTGTATAAACATGTGATCTCATAATTTTAGGGAGGAAATCAATGCTCAGAATGGGAAAGTGAGTTGCCCAAGGTCACATAGAAAGATAACAGCAGAGCTGACACTAGAATCCAGATCTCCTGACTCCCAGTTCAGTGCACATTCCACTCCATTACACTGCTGGTCTTTATAGGTTTTATTTTTTTTTAAAAATGTTTACCAAATGTTTCCAGTTCCTTAACCATTCTTGATTTCTGAATGAATCTCTTAATTCAGCTGCTCATCATGCATGGAAAGCGATGGGTACAGCAATGCCTTATAATTATTCCTCTTTACTGATTATTTAGTCACTTTCCAGCTTCAAGCAAATTCTTCATGCAATAGTCACAGACCGTGAATATGAGCATAACACATATTGCCAAGCAATCAAAGCTTCAAAATTGTCAGTGAAATTACTTCTTAATTGACTACACCTCCTCTTCCTCACTCCCTCCCCTCTTACCAAAAAGGATGGGGAGCAGGATAATGAGGTAGCAGAAGGAGCCAAAGATAAAAACAGAGAATTCTAGGTTTTCACAAATTCCCGTGGGCTGAGATTGTGGCTTTCTACGTGTCAATAAATGTTAAAGGTGCTCACAGAATTTTTACTACCCTCACCTTCAACTATAAAAATGGAGAGAAAATACAACCTCATAGAATGCTGGTGAGGAAAGCACAGGTGAAGTCACAGACTAAGAGAATGTCAGATCTAGGAAGGACTTGAATACATAAAAAAGAGAATGTCCAATTTGTCCGCTACAGATTTATGATATATAATCTTAACTGGGCCCTCACTACAGAAAGGCAATCCCTTTATATCTCTATAATCCATTCACACTCTACCAGTGGCTATTACACATCTTTTAATCCCTCCTCAAAGCTCCCACTGCACCCTTCTCACCCTCTCAGTTGAAGACCTTGTCCCATTATGTCATAGAAAAAACATTGAGGATGTTTTCTGAAAGCTACCTCTTCTCCCCTTCTCATCTTACATCACTCAGACATCTTCTCCCACTATCTCCTCCACCCTGTCTCACATGAATAAGTGGACCTATTCTTGGCAAGGGAAACCCTTCTACATACACCTTTTATCTCATAATATCTTGTCTTCTCCAGAAGACTGCTCCCTCTGTCCCTACTCTCTCACTAATATTCAATCTCTCCTGTCTATTGGCTGCTTCTTTGATGTCTATAAACACATCCATGTCTCCCCCATCCCTATAAAACCTCACTTGATCTAACCTAGTTATTGTTCTATATCCATTCTCCCCTTCTTGGCTAACCTCTTTAACCATCTACAAGTGAAGCCTCGACTTCTTTCCTCTCAATCACTTTTAAATCTTTTGCAATCTGGCTTCTAACATCATCACTTAATAGAACTTGATCTCTCCAAAATTAGCCATGGTCTCTTAATTGTCAAATATAATTTCCTCAATCCTCATCCTTCCTTTCCTCTCTGTAAACTTGGACACAGTCCATCACCTTCTTTTCTTGGATATTCTCTTTCGGTTTCTATAACACTGTTTTCTCCTGATTCTCCTACTTGTCTGACCAAGCCTTCTCAGTCTCCTTTACTGGAGGTTCATCCAGATCATGACCACTAACAGTGTGATCCCCAAGCTCTGGCCTGGCCTTCTTCTCTTCTCCCTCCATACTATCAGTTCCCATGGGTTCAAGTTTCATCTCTACGGAGATGCTTCTTACATGTGAGCCCTAATCTCTCTCCCGAGCTCCACTCATATCACCAACAGCTTTTAAGACATCTTGAACTAGTTGTCCTATATACATATCAACTTCGATATGCCCAAAGTCAGTACATTTTCCTCTCTGACCTCCAAACCCCCTCCTCCACTTCTCTACTGCAAGTAAAGCCATCACCATCCTTCCATTCATCCAAGCTCATAACCTTGGTGTCATCCTCAACTCAATCCACATATCCAATCTGTTGGTGTCTTACTGTTTCTCCTTTTACAATGTCTCTTGTATACATCCCCTTCTTTCCATTCACGTGGCCACTGTCCTAGTGCAAGCCATCATCACTTCACATGCTTCATTGCTCAGAGGGTGCTTTCCCTCTGATATTAGCTTCCATTTACAAACACACACATGGAATATTATGGACATAAATTATGGATATAGATTATATGTATGACAATATTTTAATGCTTTTGCATGTTGTCTCCTATATTAGGAAGTGAGTCCCTTGAGGGTAAGGGCCACAGTTTTGTCTTTCTTTGCACCCCCAACACTTATTACAGTGTTTGGTACAATGTAAGCATATTGCTTACTGCCTGAATGATTAGTCCAAGTTAGAGGAGACTCTAAGATATTATCTAGTTCCATTTGCTTAGTTTATAGACAAAACTAATTCAGGCCTATTAAGGAAAAGGATATGTTCTTACTTATACACTTTATAAATTATAAAATGCTGGACAAGAAAGTCATTATCATGTCTCCTTTGGCTAAGTCACGAATTTCGTACTTCATGCCCAATAAAATAAGACAAAGGAGAGATATGGCATTAAAAGCCTTCCACAATCTGACTCCAGCTGATCTTTCCAGTTTAATTTCACATTCCTTCCCAGCATGTACTCTGTTTCATCCAGACTGGCATACTTGATGTTTTCCATGCATACACAACATTCAGTCTTTATCTCTTTTTGCAGCCTATCCTGCATGCCTGGAATGCTGTACCTCCTTACCTATGCCTCTTGGAATCCCTAACTGCCTTTTTAGTCTCAGCTGAAGTACCACCCAGTAGAATCAAGCTCCTTAGGTGTCCATGCTGTCTTCTTCTTCTTGTTTTTTCTTGTCTTTGTATCGGAAGCACCATATATATATAGTAGGTATGTATTATATACATATTAAATTGGTTTTAATGGCATCTAGAGAGCATGTTCCATATAGCATTCAAAAACTCACCTTTCTACAATTTCTTGTCCATTCCAGCAAAAAGTATCATTTTCAATCACTGGACTGTGCCTGCAGACATAGCCAGGTAAAGCACTGTAAAAGTCACTTTGTGATCTCAACTTTGCAATTAGTTCCCTGAAAAGAAAAAAAAAACACCCAACATTAGATAAATGTTGATTCTAGGTGAAAATCTCATTTATTGATTGACATTCCAAAGGTCCAGCTAGGCCGTTTAAGGATATTTCCGGCTTGGATCCACAGAATGTTAAAGTATAGTCATTAATAGTCCCTTTTTATATGATTTTGCTTTTTAGGGTTGTTTTATTTTTCATCAGTTTGATTTGGTAAGTTGGTATTTTGATTTTTGTTTTTGCTCATGATTTGCTGGTACTATCTCTGGTTCTTGTTCACATCTTTGAATGCTTGGTAGGTATCGAATGAAATAAAATAAAAGTAATTTGAAAAATTCACATGTATTTTATGAGCCTTTGAATGCTGAAAAAAGTGTTATTATTTGAAAATGGTCCATTTTTGTTCATTCACTCCTAGATCTATATTACATAGACATTCTCTAGTTATAAGTATCTCTTTTATTGTCTCCAGATTTGGGGACCTGCTCCCATATTGGTCCTTGTTTCTGTGTACTTTGGGAATGAGGTAGTCAAGAAGACTTTGGTCCAAAGCTTGTCTGATCCTATTTGTTCAACTACGAATAAGTGACTCAACCTCTTTGAGTCTCAAGTAACTCTCTGTGACTTTAAATTACATTGTTCTTATTCTCACATCCACAAAATCATCAGTCCTTGATGTATTGGTTCATAGTCACTTCCACGTATTTAGTTTGACAAACATTTAATAAAAACTTCTCCATTCAGAATGCTAAGCTAGGGATCCAAAGGTGAACAAGCTGTAGACTATCACTGAAGAATTTACAGTTTATTAGGGGTTTAATGATACAGCTTATTATATTAAATATTATAGTTCATCACTAATTATTTATTAGTTTATTATTATATTATCCTACAAATATAAGTAGAATAAAATAATTGTGGGGTAATACAGAGAGTCTTGGGATTATAGTCCAAAGACTTAGGTTCAGGTCCTAACTCTGCTACCTTATTAGCTGCGTGACCATGGGAAAGTCCTTTCCCATTAATGGACTTTAGCTTCCCCATCTGTAAAATGAGGAGATTGGATCATGACAGGTCCTGACTACAGCCTGGGAATCCATCCTTCAATTCCCTCAAAGTTCTGATGCTTCCAATCTCTGTATATTTGATATGCTATAGCTGCTCTCACTATTCATTTTCTTTAATGCCATCTTTTGCTTCCTTATGTTGCAATTAGAAACTGTAATGATAGAGTCCAAAGTGGTGACCCAACTCTCATGGATGGAGAAAAAAGTTTTCTATAGAAATATTGACATATCTTTTCCTGTTTTTGTCTGTTGTTCTCTTCCTCAGTGACATCTTTAAATGTTCTTGGGGTGATCTGACTTAATTTGGTCTCCCTTCAAGCTTTCTACAAGCTCATTTTGCTTTCCACCAACCCTCCAAACTCTACCTTCTCACTGTTTTTAAGGGGTCATAGCTGACCATAATTTTCCTTTACCTTTCTCAATAAGATTTAGCAAATTAGGTTCAATTCTAAACAACTGTTCCTCTTGGCTGCCACATCTTCCAGCTTGGCAAGAAGAGCAAGTATTTGCAGACTGGCTAGTTTTTAGGTTCTTTTAGTTGCCTCATTGTGACTATTGCTTTACCTCAGTTAAGTTTCATTAGGAAATGAACATAGTACATGTTACCTTTTTTTTTTGGTTTCACTGGCATTTTTAGATGTCATATAACTGCCACATGTTCCAATATTTAGCTTCTCCTCCATTTTGGGGGTGATTTTGATCCTTACTCTGATATGCATGGATAGCTGACTTGGAAATGACTCCCAAATCAGTAACTATTCATTTTCTTTCTGTTAAGACAACGGTCAATTTATTATACGTGTGTGAGTGATGTTAGTGCTCACCCTATCCAGTGTCTCCGGACTCTTCTTGAAGAAAGTAGGCATGATTTGTAGACAAGAAGTTTCTACGTAGTTTACAAGCCTTTGACCTTATTTTGAATCATATTGTCATATGTGGATGTAGTGGAGTATTATTGTGACATAAGCAATGATAACTATGAATATGACTGAATAATTGAATGACAACAAAAGCATAAAACTGGGAGATATGCTCACCATAGGCATTTTCCACTGTCATGGTGGATGCCAAATAGAAGAAGGATTCCCTATGTATGGTAAGGTCCTCCAGATGTGTCTGTTTCTGAACGATATTATGCTGATTGATCAAAGACCCAGCAGATCACATAGTCTCTCAAATGAGATCTATAATCACCTCAAAGAGTTTGGCCTAAGTCTTCCACATAGGAAAAATCAAAGGGATGGAAGGGGATTACCTCAACCACAATATGCAATTGGATGGATGGCCCATTACATTAACTTATCAATATATATGAGGTACCTTTCTAAGACAAATTATAGAGCACATTCCAATCTGTATTCATAGAGGTAGTTTCCTCACAGGAAGTTTCCTTTACCAATGAAATCAGAGTTTATGCACAAATCAAAAGACATCACCCATAAAAAGGTCTGGTCCCAAAAAATCATTATATCTGTCTTGGATGGTGTGCAGAGGAACTGTATTGTATTTGATAAAGTGCACAGTGTTTTCACCATCACCAAGTTTATCCCTTTGTTTAAATACCATTCTCCTACTGAGGATATTGATGATGAACTTTATAAAAATAATGTTGCAAAAGCTATCTTTAGTGAGATAAATGACCAGAAAATGATGTAGGTAATAGGCATGCAACAATTATAAGTAATTCATTGGACATGAGGTGTATGTTCCTCTGGCATACATGTTGAGATTCTAGAAGAAGACTCTCTGGATTGATCACTTAAAAAATATTTATGGGAACACATTGGGTATAATTGTTTTGATAAGTTTTCTTCACTGTGATTTCCCCTTCTGTTGCTAATTTGATTTTCCTCACTTTTAAGAATTAAATTGGCTAGTGCTTTAACAATTTTATCGGTCTTTAAAAAACATTTTCTTTCACTTATCAATTCAATTATTTTTGTTTTTGATTGTTTATTTCATCTTAAATTTCTGAAATGTACTCTGTTGTGCATGTTTAGCGTTCATTAATTTGTTGACTTTATAATTTCTTTTTAACCATATGCTCAACTCATGGGTCTTCTCTTTTGATAATACACATTTTCAAGAATTTAAATTTGCCTCTGAGGAGTGTTTTAGCTGCATCCCATGTATTCTGTACTATAACCTTGATTTTAATATAATCTTTAAATTATTTCTATAATTTGCTCTTTGACCCACTCATTATTTAGCAAATCATTTTTTAGTCTCCACTTAGGTCTGCATCTGTTGCACATTCCCTTATTGACTGCTGTTTTTATTGCCTTATGGCTATATGGAAGAGTATGAAATTTCTACCTTTCTGCATTTATTCATGAGCTCTTTATGCCATAGAAAAAAATGATCAATTTTTGCAAAAATCTCATGTATTTGAGAAAAAGTAAACTTTTTGTTATTTCCATTCAGTTCTTTCCAGAAGTATATTAAAACCCAGTCTTTTCAGCATTCTGTTCAAGTCTATAACCTCCTCCTATTGAATACTCTCTCCTCCTTTGGTTTCCAAGATTCTGCTCTTCATCTTATTTGACTACTCCTTCTCAGTCTCCTATGCTGGGTCATCTCTCTCCTGCCCACCAAGTGTGGGTGTCTACCAAGTTTCTGTCCTGAGCCCTCTTCATTTCTCTCTCAATACTCTTTCCCTTGTTGATCTCCACTACTGCAATGACCCCCTAATTAACCTTCCTGCCTCTAGTCTATCCTCCCTCCCATGCATCCTCTATGGAAAAACCAAAGTGCTTTTCCTTAAACACACAATTGACCATTTGACCTTCCTATTCAACCAACTCCATAGACCCCTTTTTCCTCTAAGATGAAACATAAACTTCTCTGTTTAGCTCTTAAAGCCTTTCACAATTGGAACCCAATTTATCTTTCCAGACCCATTTACATTACTCCCCTTCACATAAGCCCCAATCTAGCCAAACTGGTTGTTATCTATACACATTTCCATCTCTTATCTCAGTGCCACTGCACTGACCCTTCCGATGCCTGGAAGGTACTACCTTCTCATCACAGCCTCATAGAATCCAGATCTTTTAAAACATAGCATAAGTACCACCACATTCTAAATAAGGCCTTTCTATGTCTCCTCCAACTGCAACTGCTAGCACTCACCCTGACAAATCACCTTGCATTTATTTTGCATTTGTATATAGACATTTACTTATATAGATAAATGCTCTCTGATAGATTGTAAGCTCCCAGAGAGTGTGGATTATTCATATATATATGTATACATACATACACACACACACACACACACACACACACATACACACACATATAAATATATATACATATATGTATGTATGTATATATATATATATATGTATGTATGTGTATATATATATATTTACCTTGAACACCTGAAAGGGTGCCTAGCACTTTCAGGGGCTTAATTCATGCATAACAATTCATTTCCTTTTCTAAACTCCAGTTACACATTGCAATTGTCTGCTGGACAGCTCCATCTGGAGGCGGCTCTATTAGAATTTCAAGCTCAACATATCCAAAATGGAAGTCCCTACTTTCCCTGCTAAAACGACTCCTCCAAACTGCCCTGTTTTCATCCTACTTACTAGATCATCCAAGTTTACAACGTCAGAGTCATCCTTGATTCTTGCCTCTCCCTCACTCGCCATACATCTGTCCCCTCCTATGCCATTATCAAATATTCTTCAAATTCTACTGATTTCTGCCACTGATATTTGTATTTGTTCTGCTACCTCTGCAATTCTGTCCTTCAGGGAGTCTACCATTTTGTTGGAAATCATCAACAAAAATTTAGCCTTGCTTAACTGCCTTCCCTAAATCTCTCTTTTCTGTTGTCTGTTAGAAAGAATGGCTTGCCAAGTCAGTGATAGAAGATGGATATATTCAGAAATAAAGGTGACAAAAGGAAAATAAAACAATTCAAACA